AAGGGGAGAGGAAACTGGGATTGACATGTAAAAGAAGCTTGTTTCTAATTTAAATTAGAAAATAAATTACAAAAAAATAAAATAAGAACACTAAGTGCTGACATGTACGCATGCACACACACATAAAAGTAGTCTGAACTCCCTTGGTGGCAGGGATGGAATATTCCATTATCAAATGTATTTGGAAACTTTTCATCTAAAAACATATAGTATTTATTTACTGGTGATCTCCGTAGCTGCCTCTTTTGACTCACCTTTCTGAGTGACAAGTGTTGTCACTCAGATGTGTCTCTTATTAATAGGTAGGAAGGTGACTAGTGTGGCTAGATAGAAAAGAGTGGCATGTGTTTCAAGGACTTGGCCGACTCTGTTGCTCTGGGTGAGCTGGCAGAATAGAGTCCCAGGAAAGAATTTCAGCTTGTGTGTCAAGTCCACCTGGAGTCCAGCTGTCACCTGTATGTCAGACTAATCTCACCACATGGAGATAGAGTTAGTAGGCATCAACAATGACTCAGTGGTTTTAACTGAGGAAAGTACAGAAAATATGGGGCTGGAGCCATCTGGTTGAGACCAGAACCCAAGAGCTTAAAAACTGGCCTGCACAGAAGCGAAGCAGTCAGGGATTCCCATAGGAAACTCAAGTTTGTGAAGGTCAAAGGCATCCTCCCCGATGCCCTCAGCTCTTTGAAGGGCAAAGGGTTAAGGGTGGCCAGAAGGAAACAATAAAGAAAGGAGGGGTAAAACCAGTGGCAAAGCCCAAAATAATGTGCCTGGAAATGAGCAAAGGCTCCCATGGGAGGGCTGGCTGTCCACCCAGACTTTCCCGCCAGAGCGGGAACAGTGTGAACTCATACATAACATTCAAAGGAAGACCATTTAGACTTTGGACCGGCAGTCCGGGTTTTGTGACTGCAGACACTAACTCTTTCTTCTCCTCTCCCTGCCCGCTGTTGGCATGAGATGCTTAGAACCCTGTTGGAGGGTGAAGGCTGGGGACATTATGTAGTGGATTTGTCTCATTCCCCCGTGAAGATTTGCTCCCGAACAAGAGAGAACAGATCCCCGAGAGGACACAGTGGTATTTCCATCCATGACTGTTCAGCGCTACTCGGTTCCCTCTCCTTATAGGGAGAGGAAAATTGCCCCTGGTTATTTTGGTCGATGGCTTTTCAAAACTTCCATGACAAACCATAAAGCAGGGTTGGCTTCTGGGAAATTGCCCTCTGGTTAATAGTTTTAAATGTATTCATATGGTGACGTATGGCTTCCTAAATGCCCGTGTTCTGTGTGAGATCTAGGTTTTGAAGTAAAAGCCTCTCTCGCTATTTCCTAACCAGTGTTCTGATCGGGTGTGTAAAGAATTACCAGGTCAGGTGGGAGGGAAAAGCTGGGAGAACCTGTTTCGTGGTTTTGTCTTTAGCCACACAGGGAGCAACCCGGTGTGCATCCAAGAAGACAACCGTCCCCCAGCACAGCTGGGAGAACAGGAATGGCCATGGTAACTTTGGCATTTCCTCCATGACAGAAGTAAACCCAGGGAATGCATGTCTGTCTCTGTCTCTGTCTCTGTCTCCGTCTCTTGCTTTTCCCTTGCCTTCTCCCTCTGTTCAAGGTCTTGAGAATGCTATGCTAGCCATACTACCCTGGAACTCACTATGTAGCTGAGGATGACCTTGAACTTGTGATTCTTTTGCCTCCAGAATGCTGAGATCACAAGAATGGAACGCTATGTCCGCTTTTAGGTAGTTTGCAATGCCAGGGATCAAACAGGAGCCTCTAGATACACCCTTCACCAGCTCAGCTATATCCTCAGCCCTCTTCTACTTTCTTTTAAATTGCTGTCTTCAAAATGGGGCAAGAAAGTTGGAGGTTTGGAACGTTGAAAGTCACTATTAAATTATCAGTACAGTAATGCCTTCCTAAACTAATGACTTTCTACTTTCTAACTGCAACCAACAGTAAGAAAGGCATCACCCACATCTATCTCCTAGTGTATGGATACTTAGACTTATTTGCATGTATGTGTATAGAAAGTTTCACAGCACACTGTCCATCTTGCATTATGATTTTTCCTTACTCTTTCATCTATCAAGTATTTTTGTAACTCATTAAATTGATATAATGAGTTATTGTGATTAACAACATGGGGTTTAGGAAATACTACTCTGGGAGGCTGGAGAGATGATGACTCAGCAATTAAAAGTATGTACTGCTCTTATAAAGGTCCCAAGTTCAGATCCAGTACTCATATTAGGCAGCTTACAACTGCCTGTCACACCAGCTCCAGGAGATCTTATGCCCTCTTGTGCCCTCCATGGATACCTGCACACACACACACACACACACACACACACACACACACACGCATAAATAAAGAAAAGAAAACCTAAAAGATATTGCCCCAATAAGCAATACGAGGCCATTGCCTACTAATCTTTACTCCAAAAAGTAAAATAAGGTATTCAGAGAATCAAATCTTCAGACATTTTTAATTGTGTCTCCTACATTCTTGCCTTGAAATTCCAAATGCAGATGTGTTTCTATAAGAAAATTAAGACCATAATCTTCCTTCATGAGTTCTGATATAAGCCTGCATCCTAAATGTTCAACTTCTTAAAAACACTTTAGGGAAGAAGTGCTCTGAGATCTGGCTACATAGTATCTGCCTGTGCTGGTTTGTAACAGAGTGGCTCCCATGGGCTTATTCACCAGGGAGTGGCACGACTGACAAGGATTAGGAGGTGTGGCCTTGTTGGAGGAAGTATGTCACCGGGGGTAGGCGTTGAGGTTTCAAAAGCCCATCCCAAGCCAAGTGTCTCTTCCTGCTGCCTGTGGATCCAGCTACGTGTCTCTCAGCTACTTCTCCTTGGAACCATCATACCCTCACCATGATGACAATGTACTGAACCTCTGAACCTATAAGCCATCTCCAATTAAGTGTTTTCCTTTATAAGAGTTTCCCTGGCCATGGTGTCTCTTCACTGCAATAGAACACTGACTAAGACAATGACTTAGGCTATGATCTAGATGACAACGTAACGAGCACAGGATAATACCGTTTACATCCGTTAATGAAGTGAGCAGAACTACGAGAAACAAGTTGACCTACATGCTGTCAGTCAATGTTCAAGGCATGTTGATAAGTTTATGTGTAACCTCAGTGCATTTTATGAGGTAGACTACCTCAGAATTTTAAAAGGTGAACATAGCCATTTTTTATGTGCAGACAACATTTTTGGGATATCTGTAAAGCATTGGTAAGAGGAATTGCCTCTCTGGAATAGAAATAGAACTGTGGATGGTGGAGATTTAGCATTGTGTCTTTTTGTAGTATTCAACGCTGTATTTTATGTTCACAAATCCCGATTTTTAAAAATAAGAATGTTTATCTAATATGTGTAAGAAATGTAATCATATATACCACATTTTATAATAGGGAGGGTAAGTGTTTACAAACTAAGTAGAGTGAAGAATTTTCCCTGTGAGCAATTGTATAAATAGATGTTTATTATAATGCTGAAGTTAATTATCTCTTCATTTACATTTCTTATACAGTTTACAATGAGTTTCCTATTCATTGCCTAGTGATCACCACAACTTTTGTGAACAGGTGTGACAGGTGCTAGAGGCAGATTCACAAGTTAAATCAAACAAAGGCAAGTTTGCAGTCTATTAGAAGTCAAGGCCTAAACCATTATTTTCTGGTAAGAGGTCTGGAGTCCTACCATGGCCATGGCAAAGCAGAAGCCTGGTGTCTTACAGTGTTAGGAGTTACAAATGAGTTTGTAGATAGCAGCATCTCAAAGCCTTCGCAACATTCCTTAGCTAAGAAACTCTTGCAAAAGGAAGTGAGTATAGGAAAAGGCAGAAACTCTGGGTAAAACTTGTCTAAAATGATAGTAGAGTCAACTAGTGTCTTAATGTCCTCAGTAGCTTTACTTCAACCCAAATCTGACATAACTGCTCACGTGGGGAAAAAAGAGAAACCGCAAAGCACAACACCAAATCTTGAAAGATATCCTTCAGGCTTAGGGCTTAAGGTTCCCTTGGGACAATCCCAATTCACATCTTTCATCTTAGTGTGATTCATTTTTACCACCTCTCTCACTTTCAAAAGTGTCCTAGCACACACCAAAGGTCGCTCAGTTCTCATACTCACTCCTGTGAGACTGATTGAAGACAACAAATAGCAAAGCGGCACACGGAGAACCCATATATGATCCCACCCCCGGAAAACTCCCATCTGTGCTCCTCATTTACTTAAGATCTGAGAGCGGCTGCTGGAAAGGACTGTTCAAAGGGACTTTGTACTACATTTCCATCCTTCGCAGAAATGTAACGGCATGTGTCAAATCTTGTCCAAGCGAGCCATCCTCAGAACTCTTTTCTGATTCATTCTTCAGAATTTTCATAATTCATAACTACTCTATTTTTATCATCACAAAGATTATCCCGGTGCCTTGGATAGGGTCAATTGTTGCTGAAGTATTTTGCTCATGTCCCAAATGTATTTTTCCTAGAACAGGTAAAGGAAACAGTAGTTAAGTTGAATGTCACAGAACAGCATCACTCACTCCACAGCATGAAGACCAGCTGTCTGGTACTCAGACTGCTGGAGAATGGAGGCAACGCTGTAGGCTGCCTGTAATTGCTCGCTCTACTCTAAAGCACCGGCTATTCAAATCGAAGCTATGTATCACAGTAAGTGATTACTTCCGTTTCTGTTTAATTATTTTATATTTAGATTTATACTTTTAAAAAATATTTTCTGGACGTGAACATATTTTAACACACATGTACCAAAGTTGGTGCACCCAGGTTCTCTCTGAGAGAGCTGGATCTTGGCTCCAAATCCAAGTTTGACTTGATTCCCTGTGAGTTCTGTGGATTCCACATCATCTGTTTGTTCCTCGCCTGTCTCTAATGTGTTGGGAGTCTTTACTGCCTTTCAATTCCTCACCAAACATCCATGCAAAGGGCTCTCATGGGATGTCCTTGCTCTAATCATCACTGGTTGAATGATTACTGTCACTGCCTTCACTGTCACTGTCACTGTCACTTGCATTGTTGTTGTTACCAGACTTGCTATCACTCTCATCACTGCTATCAGATGTGCTGTCTTTGCTGTCACTGCTGTCCTTGCTGTCACTGCTGTCACTGCTGTCACTGTCACTGCTGTCACTGCTGTCACTACTGTCACTGCTGTCACTGTCACTGCTGTCACTGCTGTCACTACTGTCACTGCTGTCACTGTCACTGCTGTCACTGCTGTCACTACTGTCACTGCTGTCACTGTCATTGCTGTCACTGCTATCACTACTGTCACTGCTGTCACTGCTGCTGTCACTGCTGTCACTGCTGCTGTCACTGCTGTCACTACTGTCACTGCTGTCACTGCTGTCCTTGCTGTCACTGTCACTGCTGTCACTACTGTCCCTGCTGTCACTGTCACTGCTGTCACTGCTGTCACTATCACTGCTGTTGCTGCTGCTGTCACTGCTGTCACTACTGTCACTGCTGTCACTGTCACTGCTGTCACTACTGTCCCTGCTGTCACTGTCACTGCTGTCACTGCTGTCACTATCACTGCTGTTGCTGCTGCTGTCACTGCTGTCACTACTGTCACTGCTGTCACTGTCACTGCTGTCACTACTGTCCCTGCTGTCACTGTCACTGCTGTCACTGCTGTCACTATCACTGCTGTTGCTGCTGCTGTCACTGCTGTCACTACTGTCACTGCTGTCACTGTCACTGCTGTCACTACTGTCCCTGCTGTCACTGTCACTGCTGTCACTGCTGTCACTATCACTGCTGTTGCTGCTGCTGTCACTGCTGTCACTACTGTCACTGCTGTCACTGCTGTCCTTGCTGTCACTGCTGCTGTCACTGCTGTCACTGTCACTGCCTTCACTGTCACTGCTGTCACTGCTGTCACTGTCACTGCTGTCACTGTCACTGTCACTGTCACTGCTGTCACTGCTGTCACTGTCACTGCTGTCACCACTGTCACTGCTGTCACTGCTGCCTGATTTGCTCTCGCTGTCACTGGTGTTGTCATGTTCGCTGCTTTCTGAGTCATCCTTGTCATCACTCTCACTGTTATCATCGCCATTGCTATCACTGTCATGGGCATCCGATGCATCATCACTCCTGTCATCATCTCCCCCATTGGAGTCGCTGCCGTTGCCATCATCGCTTGATTCATCAGAGCTGTAAGAAGCATCTCCTTGGCCGCCACTCTCATTTTCACTTTCAGAGTTAGCATCGTCACTTCCATTAGACTCGTCACTGCTGTTCGGATCATCTCCCTGCATGGACTCATCGTCGAAATCATAACTGTCGTGCACATTACTGTTGCTACCACTACCTATCTTGCTGTGTCCAGTTTTGCTGTGGGCTTCTGGCGTCTCAACAGGCCCCTGGGGCTTGCCAGACTCTGCTGCTTGCTTTGGGCTATGTCTTTTGTCCACTTCCATTCCCTGGTGTCCATTGTTCTCTCTATTTTCACCGAGTTTCCCAGATTCTTTGACAATATTACTTCTGTTGCCTGTGCTGGGACCTTCGGTTTCTATTCCCTATGGAACAATATAGAGAAGAATAGATAATCAGTGAATATTTGCTGTAAAATTCCATGGCCGGAGAGGAGCTGTCTGGGGAGATGGCCTTAGGACCAGGACTTGGGCTGCCAGTGCAATGGTGACTTGTGCTAATGTGCTTATCTCATACTTTAAAGTGCTGAGTTTCAGGGTTCAAATCCTCCAACAAACTACCCAGGAACTTGGATTAAACAGGTGCACAATAATGAAAGTGTCACCGTGAAACTCCTTATTTTGTGTAATGAATGTAACACTAATAAAATGTATTACACAAACATGATTGATCATTATTCGGCTTGACTTTTAGAATTCTGACTAATTTTTCAGAACCTTCTGAAATTTTAAAAATTGTTCTACACCAAAGTCTATAAGGACTCCTGATTTCTCATTAAAATTTGCATTGTTGGTAAAATAGTACCCAGACACTTATTGTGACATTTTTTATGTTAGTTTGGGGTTTGATTTGTATTTGTCTAGATTTGTTTCTGTTGTTTTGCCCAGCTGTCAGAGTGTAGAGGGGGGAATGTGAACTGCCATAGAAAGGAATCAGTTTCAAAACTAACCTGACCCTGGCTCTTCCCCAGAGGACACACTTTTGACTGGCAGGTGATTCCACCTTCTGTATCTCTGTTGTCTTTGTGACTGAGCTTCTGGTTTTCCTGTATTGCTTGGCCACCATTGCCTTCTTCAATACCATTGTTCTCTTCACTGCTAGAGGTGTTGTCTCCATCACATCCATTTGGGGAGCCATCTTTTTCTTTAGAGTCATCGCCTTCACTACTGATTGAACTCTGACCTCTGTTATCATCTCTCCCCTGATGAGACTGGTTCTCCTGGCCCTTACTGTCATCATGGCCCCCCTTTCCATCTCCTGCTTCTGGACCCTCATCATTACCGGAGCCCAGGTCCTCATCCTCATTTTCCCCATTGCCACTGGGACTCCCGTCAGCATTATCCAAACCAGCATCTTCCTCAGTGCTGGGTGTTACCTCAACCCTCTTGTTCCCACTTCCCTCCCCTTCTCTCTGAGATGTCGTTTCATGAGTAGCAACCCCATCCCCATGTATTCCACTTGTGCTATTGTTGCTTGCAGCTACTTGAGGTCCATTTCCCTGGACAAGCGTGCCATCTGCACTCTGGCTCACATCACCAGCATCCCCAGGTTTTGTGTCCTGATCGGCATGTCCATTTACATTACTCTCCTTTGCGTCTCCTGCATTTTCAGTGATGCTTACTTGGCCCCTGATGTCATTTGCTGTGCTGTTCTCTACTTTTGCATGAATTTCATCATGACCATATGTTTCTGAGTCCCCATTTTCATCATCAATGTTCCCCTGTTCATTTGCTAAAAAGGGCTTTGTAGAAGGATTTGTCCCTCCTACACCAATTGACTCAGAGCCATTCCCTTCTCTTTTGAAACTGTCCTTGGTATACACTTGTCTTCCTATTTCACTCCTGTTTTGGGGGTCACTGCTGTCTTTAGTGGTGTTATTGATATATAACTCATTCTGGAAAAGAGATACAATTCAAAAATCATTGTGGGTATTATTTTCAAATAATGCCAACTGAACGAGAAAATAGGTGGAAATTTTAGAGAAGATCATAGAGTATAGAAGTGGCTTGAAAGTGGAAAACGAATATATGCATTTTTTACCTGTGCTGGAGTCCCTGAGTGTACTAGAAAAGATACATTCACAGATTTTTCAACAGTATGTCTTTCTGACGGTGTGATTTGAGGAACCTGTCAAAGTAAAACCATAGATATTACACAGGCTCTTGTTTTATGAAGAAGAAAAGATAAAACACAAAGTTCAGAGCCTAATCTGGCATGTAGAGCAGAAAAGCAGCCCATTAAAGTGCTTATACGGAATTTCAAGCTGAGAAAATGAGAACTTTTATAACATTGTCATCAGTTAGTATTACAAGCCCACTTACTTCACATGTATAAAGACAAGGTGAATCCCTGTTCTGTTAAGCCACTCCTGGCAGTAACCTGTACAGGACCCACCCCAAGTTCAATGTCAGACTAAAACCAGTAAAACAATAGTGAGTGTGTGCTGCTGGAGAAGCAGTATCAAGTAATTGCTACTTAAGCTCTACAAGAGTAAGCTTGAAGTGCTTGCAAAATTTCTCAACTACAGAAACAACACCATATCTGGTGATGTGAAATCATAAACAAATGCTAGACATGGAGGATGGCTAATAAAATTCTTAATGTTTCTGTGTTTGTACATATTCGTATGCTCCAGATTTTCCACAATGAACACACAAATAGCACACATGGAACCCCGATTTGATCACGCATTGAAAAACCTGAACTTCAACTCTTGTTCTTGCTTCAATTTTTCCCAAACAGTCTAAGCTGTGTGGACACTGAAATGAAATTCCCATGGAATGAAGCAGAGGCAGACAGAGCCTCCACAACTTCCGGGTCATTTAATTACTATGAATAAACTTGTAAAAGTCTGTTATCCTCTGATAAGATGTGTTTCAACAGGAAGAAAGGGAACATGAGTTGGTTCACATGTTTGCCTTGTATTGAGATTCCAAATGATATCACATAATAGTTTTGATGCAAATCTAAGTGTTTAGACTCAACTTCTCTGCAAAACCTTAAGGAAATATGTACACTTTAACATTGGGCTAAAAGACAGAGCAAAGTAAGAAGGCTTGGTTAGGAATATGTACTTACCGGAATGGCCCATGCCGCTGCCCAAATACAAATATATATAATAATCTTCATTTTCTTTATGAATAATAATCACTGTCTGTTTAGAACAAAGAATGCCACAGAATTATTTATAAAACTGGAAGATGATGAGCGCAGGAAGTCGTTATTTCAGTCTTTACATTTGCCCTTTCCTAGGGCAAAGGGAGAGCACTAATGTGAGAAGACTTCCCAGGTTCCAGAATAAACCTGCTATGGTTGTGGAGACATGTCAGGGCCTCGGCATGCTCAACACTGTCATGGTTTCTGACATTTTTTGTCCGTGGGAGCAACAGCCACAGAGGTACAGAGGACATGGCTGTGGCTTTGGCCCTGTGCTGCTATCCATGAGGGTAACAGCTCTCTTCCCCGGGGTTAGCTTTTACCAAGAGTGAACTTAAAAGATGAAGTACTTGTAATTCCTCACCTGACTACAGAGTTGGGCTATAAACACTCTAAGAGGAAGAAATCCATGAGAAGGAGCTTGGGCAAGGAGAAAGAACACAAGGTTTGGTTTCAAATTCCCTAAATTCAGATTCTTCCCCTGCTATCTGCCATCTGAGCTTGAGAACTTGAAATAGCTTTATTGGGCTTTTGTTTCCTCAGTCTGGAATAATAAAACCACGTCTCAGAATATCCCAAGGGCTGGCAGAAGAATCTTCCGGAGCTTCCTAAAGCATCTTTATTTCCCCTTCCACACAGCCAGTGGCTTTTTCGAGCTCACTGGCAACACACCATACTGTTTGGAAGTTGCCTAGCTAACCCTATGTTCCTCTTCATTGCCATAGGGTCCTGGAGCCCAGGGGAGTGTCTTGATTATCATTGTCTTCCGATGCAAAGTGCAGAAAGGATACCTGCAGATGTTGCTGGTGAAGAAGTACTTAGGGTACAAACAGCACCCCGCACTTCCCCAAGTACGTTTTAGTAGTCTCCCACTGAATGAAAGGACTTCTAAGAGCAAAATCTCTCACCCCTCTTACAATGCAAAAGGTACAAACAGCACCCCGCACTTCCCCAAGTATGTTTTAGTAATCTTCCACTCAATGAAAGGACTTCTAAGAGCAAAATCTCTCACCCCTCTTACAATGCAAATTCACCAAGAGTCACATGCATATTTTTCATACATTGGAATAGAGATTATAAAAATATATAAAAAAAATCTACATGGATCTAAATTTAGGTTCATATTTTCCTAAAACTTAACTTCTTTGTGTCATGATATTGTCACGATAGAAAGGATTGTTTTCTCCTATTTTGTGACATTCCACGAGATTTAAAGATTATAATCTTGCATGTCATAAAATGGCCTTGATTACATTCAAGGTTAGTAGTGAACTAGAATAGAACGCCAATGAATATGTATTAAGAATTATTGGTACTGCTTCAGAAGAGTGAGAACACAGTTCTGAGGCCTCTGGAAAAAGGTGCTAAGAAGAGCTGGAGTTCATAGATTGAAATAAGACTAAGATGTCTTGAGACAGAGCTGGTGAGGGAGGGGTGTGTGGGGGATGGCCATCTGTCTATCAGCCAAGCTTAGACTGCCCTTGACAAGTCCAAACCCAGTTATTGCCACTGCAGAAGCCATCTCAACGGTGACCTGGGGATCCCTGGTCCAGGAAAGGCACCTGTAATAAAGTTCATCGATACATCCATCTCATTTCTAAACGGAAGTCTGGTCATCTAAGGCTTCCTGTCCCCTCTCTTGCCTTTTCACTCCAGCACTGTGAGCACTGTGGTGTGTGATACTTGCACCTGCTGGCAAGGCAGTTCAAAGGCCCAAGGGACATGGCCAATTCATTAGAATTGAGGAGCCTCTTTTAAGTTATATATTGCCACATTAAATGAGATGTAGTGATTAGCAAGTGAGTGTGACTATGTCAATAAGAAGATGGAGGAACAGAGAGCAAGGGCCTTGTTGGAATGGCGGAGGTAGACTTTTCACACCTGAGCTATTGTCATAGCCATGTGACAACATGACCAGACCTAAGAAATCCCAAACCTGACCAAATCCCAGCATACAAAGGGAAGCTGGTCATAAAATTCCACCCCTAGCCATGGAACTACTGACAATCGATAGGTGCTAGGAGAGACAAAAAAGCGGATTTCTCTAAGAGTGTAGGTTCATGCTCCAATGGAAGGTGCACATCTGAGAATATTTGGCAAGCATAGACTGGTCCTGCTTTTTTTTTTTATTTGTTTGTTTACAAAAAGGGTACATGAAGGGAGGAGGATCTGGGCAGAGTTGGGGAGGGGTGAATATGATCAAAACATATGGCAAAAATTTCTCAAGGAACTAATAAAAACATTTTTAAAGATATTTAAAACATGTTATCTAATTTCTTATCAAAACCATTCAAAGTAACCACACAATTTTCAAATTTCCACCTCGACTTTTGCCAACATGTGGCAACACATCTTTGTTTTTCTGAACCTATCATCATGAAGTTTGAAACAGAAAAAATCAGTTTGACATAAATAAGAGGGTATTCTGCGTAGAATCATTTGAAAGTCTGCTTTTAAAATTTTCATATCAAATGCCAGACAAATACTTTCTCAGGTCTCTGTTGATTTCGAGTATTAAATTTAAGCTGAGATTCATTGACTTGGTCCAGTCAGAAGACTGATATCAGCCAAATATTGAGCCCTGGAAAAAGCACAAGCCTTCTTGTTATAGATCTTTAACTGTGCACACCAACTAGGCAGACCTTGAGGCAGCAAACAGTGGTTAAATCAAATGTCAAATCCAACTTTCCTCTCAAGAAGAGTTGGTGTTTGGATGCGACCATCATCCCTGTCTCAAAGAGGAAGACAGTATGTGGTCCTTTTGGGTTAAATCCCATCGCTCCTTACATTCCAATGAGGAAACTGAAAAAAATGCCCTTGACTCGATTTAAAGCTCTTAAATATATTTTCCCTGGACCAAAAAATAACAATAATAGAGCTATAGCGAATGATACATGAAACATTCC